TTTCAAGGGTTTTGTTAAGATGGCTGAAACGAATTTATGGTCCGCGGCTTACGTGTTCGGTAACGTTCAAACTGCTTACATGGCACAGATTGAATTAATCTCACACATTGGCTAGTCTGTAATGCCACATTTGCCAATTTCTCCTTTTCGTTGTTGCGCCTGCCCGTCACTACCGTATTTCTCGACATAACTACTCGTCAAATAGAAAAAAAGACGGATCACGCAGGGCGAGATGATGGTCAAGATAGTGGTGAATCCGATTGCCTCGATGGAAGAGCCTTCTAAGGAAACTAAACGATGTGTAAGGAAGGAGAAGGCTGGCCGAGCAGTAGAGCTATCTAATTATTTTTCTGAGGCTTCAAACGCATGTAGGAGTCCAATATCAGAAATAAAAAGCGGCAATTACAGGGGTATCAAACAATCAATGGACAGCGACGCAGGTCTGGCTCCGGTGCTCGACCAGTTTTCTCCTTTCTTGCTAATACATATACCTGGAATTCAAACAGCCATCATCCGTCCGCAAACTAACTGATAGTGGAAATTCCAAAGTTATCTAGTCCCCAACAGCGCACACTCACGGCATACGCACGTACTAGAGCACAGGTTCACCGCATTTTACTTTCGTAGGTCGAGTATTTTGTGCGACCTGACGCAAGCGGAACCGCGCACAACGACCACAGTGGTCTACTGCCCGCGGAAGATTACGAACAATCAATGAATTGACCTGAGATTAAATTCTGCCACCTTTTCCTCTCCGAATGTCCACGCGGACTGCTCCCACTCGGCGCCGACAAATTAGCCTGGAATAAATTAAATAAAATGCGGTTAATAGGGGTCGCCTTAAAAAGTTGTCTTTTTAAATGGTGTACAAATGAGAGCTGGTTTCATTTGGGAACAAATCCTTTATCGGTCTTTAGTGCGCATTTACACTGGTCTTTGTCTGTCAGGTTAACACAGAATTTCTGTAACTAGCTTTCCTAATCTATTTAGGAAAAACCTCATTACCATATGTAACTTTTTCCGGCAAATAAACATTATTCAGGTAAGAGGGTAAAAGTACAAAATAACCGACGATTGTTCACAGATATCTGTCAGAACTGTGTGAGGTCCAACGCTAAATCTCCATGCGCTGAAACAGGGATACTGCTGGAGAGTCAACTTGAATACATGAAGATAGTTAAATTGATGTTAAGTAGTCCAGTTAACATAAAGGAAAAAGGCACCTCATCATTTTCATTGTTTCCCTTAGGGCTAAGAGGTCCTCAAACAAACATAACATCAACGAAGGAGAGAAGGACTGCCGATTCGATATAATTAATATTTTCAGTGCGAGTTTTGTCTCACATTATTGAGGTATGGGCAACCAAGGCGTGCTTAACCATAAGAACTTAATTGAACCACAGGGAAAGTGGACTTACATCCGAGATACCACTTTTTGAATTTATACCAACGGGAGGGAGTACGGACTATGACAAGGGCGACTGAAATGGCCACTTTGGGTTTGTTAGCAGTTAACAGCTAGACATGCCCAACTCCAAACAGTGGCCCTAGCCACGGGTTGATTGTGATTGGCTGACGAAGGCCAGCAAGCCAGAAGAGACCACTCCCGTCACCCTCGACTTCATCAGTACTCCCTTCCTGCATACCTGTCTACTCGCTACGCGACTGCCCGAGAGAGCTCTAAATGGAGCTCCAAGGCGCAACGAGCTGAGCATGGCCTTAACTGCATTGTTGAGCACATCCGCCGGTAAAATATGGTTTTGTAGCCCCACCTGATGGACACATCACTGTTGGGGTTAAGGGTTAGGGTTGGGAGTTACGGTTAGGGGCTATGATTTGGGGTAACGGTTAGGAGTTAGGGCTAAGGGTTAGGGTTAGAGGCGAGAGTTAAGGATTAGGGGTTAGCATTAGGAGTTAGAGTTAGGGGCTAGCGCAAATATTCCCCGCCCATTCAAATTACAACCGCGCATTCCCAGTAGCTCTTCTTTTGCACACAACTACTTGACCTTGCTGCCTGTGCGTTCCCCGGTCCCACCTTAAAAAACCTATTAACACCGGTCCCGCATTAGAGGTGGCTGGTGTTTGTTTGCTTAAGGTGGGGTAACCAAACCAAATTCGACCCATTCGCCTACAATAGTGCATTTATATCTGTTGGCGTGGGAGAGGAACAGACACTAGGGGCATGGTTTTTTCCTACGCCTCATTTTACTGTCTTTGTACTATAGTGAAGGCCTCAGAAGTGTTCGCCGTGATGGCAGGATAAGTGCTGCCTGAGCATGTTTATAAGTTTTCGGTGATAACCGCAGAGTTGATGCGTCGTGTTTTCCTTTCCGATAAACAGTGAGCCCGCTAGAGAAATTTAGACGAAAACCCTACATACGGTAGCAATCCAGTAGCAGTGACCTTTACTTTTGTTCACTAATAGTCAAAACGGTGTGGAATTATTTGTAAACTGATGCCTAACATTCCTACGCTCATCCGCTGACAAGGGTCGAAACAATTTACAAATACCTTTAAGAGAAGTGAGTGCATGCGCTATTATAGACTCCTATCTGGGCATATACTTGATCCATTGTCTTTAAAATACGTTGATATGTATGATCGGGCTATTTTAAATATTACGCCTCCCAGTGCCCAAAAAATTACTGTTCACAGTAGCTTGCTTTTGCGATTTTGTTACCCCCGGTGCGGCTGCCGTCAGAAAATATTTCCTAGGCAGCAACCTACTGGACTTGTATGAGAGTCCTTTTCTACCTGTTTTGCTTGCAACCACTTCCAGGAGGTTCTTCACGTGGTCTCCATGGGCCTTCTAGTTGAGCTTCCGGAAAAGATGGAACATGAAGATGGATGTTCGCAAACGTGTGTGTATTGGTGGTCTTCGTAGTCAGTAAGTCCGTTTTTCGACTGCGCAAGTTGCACCTGACCTTTGCGCAGGCCGAGGTGGTCAGCTCTAACGGACGAACTTAACGCCCATGGACAGACATGAGACATTATTTCAGTCTCTTCAGAAAGTTTAACTTCTACGGCGCTATCAGCAGCATGCAAGATGCCCTAAGATGAAATTCCACCCAGACGTTCCTCTGAAAGGCGCATGCGGTTTTGTCTAAAATAGCCAGAACCACAAATCGTGAAGGCCGTGTTGTGGTATACCCCACTTTCAGAAGTCTAGTTGACGATGGGAGGACTTAAGGGTCTGCGGTTTTTGACTTTCGTTTCCCGTTCAGAAAGAAAGGGGGATCCTAAGGCGAAGCTGTAAATGAATTAAACCAGCATTTACTAAGTCGTGAGCGGTTGGATTAATGACGGAATATCATCCAGCGCTGCCGCAACACATTCTACACAAATACCTGCACACTCCGTAGCAAATACGAACCATGTGGCCAAAAAGAATGATACTTCTCCCTGGAATTTAGGCAACGCCACTCTCAATACGGGAGGGAGTCCATATTCCCTTAACCAACCGAATACTAGTATGTTCTAAGGGACACTCCAGCTCCGCCGCTCACGGCTGGTGTGATTCTGTCACCGAGAATGCTTGTGGCAATTGCAGTGTTTGCCTCCTCTTCAACGGAATCCCTATCTAAGGAACACCCCGTAAAGCCAACACCAGTCCATTGCCGACCTTTTAATTCGCTACATTGTATAAGTCAGAAACGGAAAGAATTTTTATTATACACTAGTCAGTTAGGAAGAACAAAGGCAATTAGAGAAGCACGTCTGGGGTGGGTTGACGAAACGGAGAGAATGGCGGACCGGAAGGAATTATGTAGTGGGGGAAAATGTAAAGCGCAAGACCCGAGTGGCGTAGAGCAGTGCAGGAGGAAAGCATGGCACCATAGGTTGGATTTAAAATATCCATGGAACAACTGGCATGCCCGTGGGAAGATAGGTGTATAGGTGTGTACCATGGTAAACAGACCGTTTAAGACCAAATTCAGAAGGCTAGGTAGGGAGCGGATTCCTTTTAAGAGCCCAAAAGGCACAAATATGAGAAGACAAAGCCAAGCAGATGAAAGCACTCAAAAGGACTTGATATAGCGTTGGAAAATCGAGACAAGTTCGACCAAGTACAGGAGACAATCACGCCAACCAAAAATAAAAGCGTTCGTGTGTACTGGATTTGAATTACACAGTGAACCTCTGGTC